TTTTGATAAATAAAACACAATTTTAAAGCTATTTTTAAATTTTATATAATGAATTTTCTTTCTATGTTATTCAACATAGTAAAAAAAATATATATTTCTAACTATCATAAATATCAAAAGTAGTTTCAACTACCTTGTCCTTTAAACACATGGATAGCTAATAGCTTTGTCATTTTACACTCTTTTAACTTTCTCTAATCTTATTTACATTTGATTCTATAAGTTATTTTTTTATACTAAATTTTATTCTCTTTTCTTTTTTTATTTCTTTTTTATTTTTTTATATAATATTTTCATTTTTCTAATAGTGATTTTTGTGGTTAATAAATTTTATTGCCATTGGCAAAGATTTTTTATAATAATATGGTATATTCTTCTACACAACCAATATTTTTATTTATTAATTGTGATTATCAACCATAATTTGATACTGGTAATTTTTAAAAAATTAATGATCTTATAATAGAAAATTTAATAAATTATTTATTTGAGCTATATATAATAATAAAAATATATCTAAAAGAAGCTTAAGAATGATAAAAAAAAAACCAATGCAAATGCTTAATACAAGGAACAACTTCAATTCCATGTTGAGAATAAGATATGATTATTTCGTTGTAATATCAAGACTAGCAAAACTTTCAATAAGTTGAATTACCATAGACTTGGACCATTTTTTATTTGTGAATAAATTAATCCAATTTTTTATCAATTAAATCTACCAAAGTCTATAACAATCCATCCCATATTTCATGTGTTTCTTTTTGAGCCATATAAGATAGTAAACATCTCAAGAAGAAGACAAATATGACCTCTTCTTATAAAATTGGATAATAATAAAGAGTTTGAGGTAGAAGGAATTTTAGACTTAAAGCAATACCAAAATAGGTTAGAATTTCTTGTTCATTGTTGCAAATATGATATTAGTGAATGTACATAAAAGCTAGCTAAGAATCTTGTAAATGTAGTAAAGAAAGTTGATGCTTTTCATTAATATCGTTTATCAAAACTAACATAAAAAATAACAAATCTTTACTATAAAAGAAATATAATTCAAGAAAGATTACATTTTACATTCTATCTTTGTTTGTAGTTTAAGTGTAGTATTAAAGACATAGAGAACTAGCAATTAATAGATTCAATTCAAAAGTTATTGTTTGTTGACTTACTAGAGTAAGATATATAGTGATTGTTACAGCCTTTAAGATGATATAATCAAGATAAAGATCCAAAAAGAAAAATAAGTTCTTCCTTGAATAGATGGCAAGATATAACATATTTGATATCACAACCTTGGAAGAGATTTTTAATATTTGGTGATTTTATTAGAAGTAGGAATGACTCTTGATGGTCTAATAAATATTTTTTTTGAAAAAAGTTATAAAAGCTTCAATAATGATTAAATAACAAGATAGTCTTCTCTCCTTCAAATGAATCATTATTGATAGGTGAGATGACTTATCAACCACTTTTGAAAGAAACAAAGATTAGAGTATATGGAAAAAATAATTTGTCACATCTTAGACTTTGTCAATATATGATGACTACTCCTTGTGAAACACATTCCTAAAAAGAGAGATAATGTCACAAATATATATATTTAATTAGATAAAAAGTATTAAGTAAAAAATAAATATAGATAGATTTAATATTATCTTGTAGCAAAACTTCTTAGAAGTTATATAGATACATATTCAACTTTATATATATTTATAATTGATTGGTAAGTTAAAAAATTAGGCAACAAGTTAGTCATATGTTGCATATGTGGATAACTTATAGTATAAGCTAATGATATTGCAAACATATAGAAAACTTACCTTACAAGTTAAAACATGTGTCTTAAAAATTGAACACATGTTAGAGGCCCTATAGGACATTACTATGTAGCTCCTAGTTAGATAGTATATATAAAGGAAAGAGTGAAGCCTTCTTCATTCTTGTCAATATTTTTTTAGTTTTTAGTCTTTTTTTAAGACTTTTTTATCTTTTTATTTTTATCAATAGCCAATCTAGTTCAATATATTACTATCTTTGAATAATTTTTTAGTCTTTTCTAGTGACATAAGAGTGTATTAAGATTTTTTTTTTTGAGATTTATGTCCTTGACAAGTTCATAGTCATAAAAACAAAAAAACAAACAAATTGGACTTTATCTCTTTTATAACATAGAAACAAATTTGAAACTTATTGAAGAAATTTTAGTAATAATATAAGATAGAATATAATAATAAAATGGAAGGTATAGATACTTATACTATAATAGATTACAACATTTGTGAGATGCCCACTAAGTGCAAAGATTGTCACTGTTTAATACACTTTGAAAAATATATAAAGACTTTCCAGTGGAATAACAACATCAAAAGAGATTTTCAAGAACTTCACCTCATTATGTTAAAAAGGTATTCTAAATTATATATTTTGATTTAATAGGTCTAATGAAAATATCATCGTTGAGAGACTCTTGATATTTTGTAGTATTTACACATGATCATTTTCATAAGAGTTAGGTCTATTTTCATAAGAGTTAGGTCTAAGAAGTAAAGATGAAACCTTTAGAAAGTTTAAAGAATTAAAAATACAAATAGAAAAAGAAACAAGGAAATAAATAACAAGCTTATAAATAAACAAATGGAAAAAATATCTAACTCAAGAATTTAACATATTCTTAACCTTTTATGGAATAAGTTAGTAATTAACAATATTATGTATTTTGCAACACAATAGAGTCAGCAAAATATATAATCTAATAATAGTAAAAAAATATGATATTATGTTGTATTACAATTATAGGATAAAAAATGAAAATATAGATCTTAATATAGAAGAGTCTAGTAAAAAGATATAGTAGCAAAACATGGATAAAAGATATGAATGTAACAAAAAATTTAGTAATAATATTACTTTTTTACTAAAAAAAAAGTAGTAAAAAACAACTTCTTCTTTGTAAATCCACAAATAAGGCAAAACAAAGTAGATTAAGAAAATAAATAATAGAAGTATCTTTTAAAGAAAGTTAATAATAATTGAAGCAAAAATTGCCTCAAGATATTAAAGATTGATATATAAAGAAAACCAATTGTGAATCAAGGTTGAATTAGATCTTGAGGCACAAAATCATGCACCTACGGCAATTCTAAGATTCTTTTGCTGATTAGAGGAAGGGATATAAGGAAAAAAAAAATTATAAAGGTTGTTTTAGTATTGAGTTCAAATAATTTGCTTACATATTGAGTTTCTAAGAGCTTTTCAAAGTAAGAGATGTATTCAAAGATTTCAGATTTTAAGAAATAAGAAGAGGCTTATATATTTGAAGAATTTGGATTATTTTAGTAAATTTATAAGTATAATTTTATGATTTTTTTTTCTTCATTTTATTTTACAAATTTTAAGTCAATCAAACAGTTAGCTTGAAGGATAGAGAAGTTTTATTGAATTAAGGTCTTGGATATTTAAATTTTAAGGTCAATAAGGATTTTTGTGATATGAAAAAATCTTTTATTTTGATTGAACTAAAAATTTGTGAGAGCATTTTGGACTTGGATATTTATATTTTTAATTTTTTTAAAAATAAATAGTTTAATAAAGAACAATGAGTGCTAAAAGATTAATATCTAAATTGGAGAAAGACAATGGTCAATACCCAAAAGTTTTAGAAGCTTATTCTTTCAATTAGTAAATTTAATTTTCTTTAAATTATATAAGCTTATTATTGATTCAAAAAAAATTAGGATTTTTTTAGGATTTATTAAGATTTATTTTAGATTTTTTAAAGGTTTCATTAGGATTTTATTAAGATTTGTTTAAATATTTTTAGGGCTATATTAGGATTTGCTTTAGATTACTTAAGGTTTCTATTTTAGTATTTTTATAATTTTTTATTATTTATTTGAAATTCCTATTTTTAGTATATCTTTATAATTCTTTATTATTTATTTAAAATATCAATTTTTAGTACTTTTTATTTTTAAGATTAATTTATAATTCCTTTATATTTTTTTAAGTATCTTCTTTCAAACTTCTTTTGAATTTGGTTAAAGTTTGAGTAGGATTGTTAAGATTTAATTGAGTTTATTTAGAATTTTATTAAACTTATTAGAACCTTATTGCAATTTCTTATTTACCTTCCATAGCTAAGTACCCAATGTATTCTCAAATAAGAATTCATATAATAAAACAATACTTAATGTCAATTGTTTGTCAACTACTAACACACTTATAGAGAATCTACACTAACAAGAACCTCAACATCAAGTAATTTATTTGATTGCACCATTGAGGAAGTCACATCTTTAAACAAAAAGTGATCAATACCACTCCCTCTTTCACTCTACAATACACTCAACTTCAATTAATATTCAAGGAAGCTAAACAAAGAATTACACAGACATCAAATCATCACTATGACAAACCAAATCACTAGGAGCAAAACTTGAAACTAAACATAATCAAGTTTCAATAAACCAAGTAGCAAAGTAACAGACAAAAAATAACAAAGGCAAACAATGCAACAACTCACAAAAGTTAACTTGTCAACCATACATTGAAGTCGCTCCACCACCTTGCTTAAAGTGAAATGGTGAAGTACCATTCCAAAACAAATGATGAATGCAAGTTGAGTGGAAGTGTTGGTGATACCCAATCCGCACTCATCTTCTTGCAATAATATTGCTTCCTTACACCACCTTTGTCCTTGTGTCACAAGCACATCACTTCCCACTTGCACCATACTATGAGATGAGTAGAAGTCAATTCTTGCTCTCTCCATCCACTAGCTCCACATTGACAGTGGAAGAGACCTCCCCTCAATCTAGTTTTAGGATTAGGTGAAATACTTCTTACTAAATACGTGGACTAGGTTAAACAAATGTATAAAGTGTCACTTCATCGAATGATATTGCAAGTTACTTGAGTGTGTTTTGCAACATAATCACGGTGTCCTGCTCTTCGAAACAGAGGCCAACGCACAGAAACCAACACAAGATCGAAATGCGGCATGAGCGCAAGCAGCTGAACGTTCAGACGAGGTCATAAAGAAGTGCTTTGTAAGCCTTCGGCACAATTCCACTGTTTCCCTACCAGTGTAGATTGGTAAGCACACCACACATTAAACATTAAATGAATCTATGAGCACGGACAGTCAATGGTGTTCCACTAATATCTAAATCTGTACAATGAATTAATTCCCACCATCTAATCTAAAATCTCATCAATTGAGTTACACCGCGGATGGAGAGCACTCTCCGTGAAGCCTATCTCTACGGGGACTGCAAGCACGCTCCGAATCAATGTAAACCTAAGGACTCGAGACGGAATTACGGTTTACTTCCTTGCTTGACGTAAGTAAAGGGATCCAAAGCACACGGACGACAGCTAAATCTTGAGCAAGTTGCCGGGCGTGATATCGAGATCGGCCTGATCGTTGAAACCAATTTTATCACATGAATGAATCTGTCTGTTATAGAATTGTACAGGTCCTGCCATTAAATAGCAAAACGTTATTCGATCGACCACACAAACCATCAGCGGTATATTTCGCTCAAAAATGAGTTGTAAGAATCGCCGGCCTCGATCAGGGAATCGTGCAGCGTGCTGAAGTCGGCGAGGTTGTCAAACGTGTCCAGGAACGTCGAACTGCAAAAAGACTTATGGCAGTCCGGCTTGCAATGGGAAGTTCCATTCTGATGCCCCTCGGTATCGTCGGATGCCTGCTCAATCGAGACGACCTCGGAGTTTCTTGAGCTTAGAGAGCTAATCGACGTTGCAGCCCGAGTAACACCGTGTTTCTGGTCGTGTAGTGGCTCATTCTCGGTCTTCGACGTCGATTTCAGGTGCATATGAGCATCTCTGTGCGCGCTCTCGTTGTCACCTGCGGCAGCTGGTTTCAAAGAAGCGGCCCTCTCATCAGCTATTTTATTTACAACCACGCGGCTGACAGGAGGCCGGCAGCTTGATCCAGCTGTGCCATCGAAGCCGCTGGGTGTTGGCACGGCGCCACCAATGCAGCTATTGCTATCTCTTTCCGTTCGCGTCACGCTCGGCAGCTTCGACAAGAGCGCTTGCAGGCTTGACATGGACGGGAGCAGATTTGAGAGCGTAGGACTACCCCCACTCTGTGGACTTGCAAGCCCAGTATTCAAGGATTTCGGAGGCGAAGGGCATTCGGGCCGGTGTAGGAAGCTCTCACCATTATTCACGTAGGGGTATTCGTTGAAGTTAAACGACAGTGGCTCCGTATCAGAGGGCCGCTTCACCCCGAGGAAAATGGTGTCGCTGGAGGAGCGCCATAGCTGTTGGCCGATCCGTGGCGACAAGAACTGGTTGATCGAGCACGCTGACATGTGGGGGTTCGACGCGAGTTTGTCACAGTCTGGAACTGCAATCCAGTGGCCACGGTCGGAGGGCGGAGAGCCATCGCCATTCGATCTCTTCTTGCCTGCGAACGACATTGGGTGGGGGACGAACACCCCGGGGATGGATTGAAGGTAGTTAAACCTTCTTTGCATTTGGAGTACGAAGTTCAAGTCCTCCATTATCTGTTTCTCAACCGATTCACCATCAAACCATGAGAACTTGTGTTATTATAATTGGGTTTCAGTGGTTAGAGATTTTCTTGTGATCTGCCACACATTTCATAAGATCTTGTATAAACAGCATGTTTCCATAAAGCTCACTAGACTGCCGAAGTTGCAGTCCTCTACCCAGCCAGTGGCTTAGGTCACCATCCACCACATTGGTAAACATGAGCTTTTTCAGGTCAAGCACAACGGAGCAGGCTCTGAGAAAAAGTTTATAAACATGTACTGAAAGGGGGAGAGGCACCTTCTTGGTGGATCCCAATTGAAGAACGCCTTCCTGCACTGCCACCACTGCGATGGTTTGGATTCCAGACTTGAACTGCGCTTCCCATGTGCGTGGGTGCTGCACGCATAAAGTCCTTAAGACTCAGTCAACAAGAACACACCCGAGACGAGTATCCTGTAGCGGACCATGCCTGATGACATGCACATTTTGCACAGGCATTTTGCGGCGACATAGCTACGTTATGCGTGGTGTTAATAGTAGAATACCACTTCACAGGCTGCCATTGCTTCACGATTACAGTAAGCGTTTCGATCCTTCGATAAGGAGGTGAAAGGCTGAAGAGGAGGCGAAACTTACTGGATCAAGGGAGCCATGCCACGGGGAGAAGAAGCTAATTTCGTGCTCCACCGGTTCTCGGTACACCCACTTGTGACTGTTGTCAGCAGCTACTTTTCCCATTAAGCTACCAAACATTAATATCCACAGAATAATCTTCAGCCTCTCACAGACTGGAATTTGACAAAAGTTATACGAAATCTTTGAGGCTATAGAGCTTGCACGGCGCAGCACATACGGTGTTCTCAGAGCAAAGGTTGCAGCATGAAGGAATGGAAAGTGGTACCCTTCTCCATAGTTGTAGACTTCGTGAGACATTTTGAAGAACAGCTCAGGATTCATGGCTTCACAATCTTCGTCGCTTCCTCGCCCTGGCTCTTGGGCAGATTGAGGGAAAGAGGAGAATGCTCCATTATCCATGCCGATGCCTGCAGCGCATGCAGAGAAGTTGCAAAAGCCGTCTTCCCACACCAAAATCCTGCGCATCGTTTCAAAGTTTTGCAGGTGTTTAATTTTTTATTTTAATGCAGGGTGCTCTGAACCAGTTTCAGAGTCTCACACTGCGTAATTCTTCCATCCAGGGGCTGGCAATCACAAATAACTATCGATCAACTAGACCCAATTTTTGGCGGTAAAATAACAATGGTACAAGGGTCGCATCAAACTAACCAGTTCCGCTTGTTGCCTTTAGATCTGTCTATCATGCCGCCTTCGGTATCCAATCTGCAACCCAACCTCAGTTATATTGCTAATAGCTTCACCCCTACGATTCCAGTATATTCAACAACTTTGGAACGGAGTAAGAGTCAAAGCAGTGCATTCTACCCAGAGACTCTTCACGAGGAAACCGTAATAACTCGAATAAGAAACTAGAATAGGCTTCAAGTACGAGTGCATGGTGCACGCGACGGTTATTAACTTTAAAAAAAAAATTAAAAAAACGTTTGTAAGAGCCACATAAAGTCTGTCACAAGTCCAGTGCTACTGAAGACCAGAAATCATATTTTGAACTGGTATTTGGACAGTGTAGATGGTAAACCAAAACCTTGCATGTGATTTACACCAGGAGTTAGAGGGACAGCATTGGCGAATAACGTTTGAGATAAGAGAGGGCATGGAAGAGAGAAGGTTTTCGAAAACTTGAGTATTTGCTACATTTGTGGTGAGCTTATGCGTTATACAGGGATCGCGGAAAGCGGTATCAGGCAGAATCTGATTACAGCACAAACCCGAAAGTACACAAATTGATCCAATCCAACTGAAAATTTCTGAGAATCAATTAGCAGGAGGAACGCACTGTGGGGGTGGGTAATTGCGCGGCAAAATGCGCCAGAAGACAGCATAAACCCACTGCGATTCTGTGCATAGCCTACGAAGAGTGTGCTGCAGAAGATAGTTCAGAGTCGGCAATCCCTGTTGAGTGGTATCCATTCTGAAGACGCGATTAACTTGTGTTCGCCTTCAGTGGAGTGAAGAGTACCTTCCAATGTATCCAATTTTGCGAGCCGATCCGCTTGTACTCTATCAGCAGATAGTCATCGGAGGAGGATCTGAAACTATTGTGCATGTAAAAAGACCCTTGTTACAACTTACAGGTTGTGAAAGCCCAGATCCGGAATCAAACTCCAGAGACGCTTGATTCAAAGTTCACGTGAAGATTAGGCAATCTGAGTGCATCTTCATTAGAATCAGAACCCTTGAATCTTCAGTTCTCTGCGCAGACAAACACCCCTCGGATTCATACAACCTCCCCCTAAAATATTATTCTATTCTCCTAATGAGCTTTACAACTCAGGTTGATTCATGCGAGAGAAATTACACTAGCCAATGACGGTAGGAACAATGGAAGCAATATCCAAAAGTCTGACAAATCTAGCTGTGGACCAAGTGAGAAAAAGGCAATGCCGGCAGTATGGGCAATTCACCGGTGCCAAAAATATAAGAAGTTAGCTACGTCGAGTCTGTTCCTGGACTAAAACTCGCCTTGACACTACCTCTAGATGGCTGAATCAAGGCAACCCTTTCAAAGTTATCACAAAACCCGAGGCAGGAGCAGTGCTGTAGCTGTGCAGCTCGAAATAGATTGATGGACAGTGAGCGGTTGTAGTCGGTGCAGGTGGCTTTGAGCTCAGATTGGATCAAACCCAAAAATACGACACCGACGCACTCCACTGAAACTTATTCAACAAACTGGCGACACTCTTTTTCTGAAGTGCCGTGATATGCACTGCAAAGTCCCTGCCCTGCTCAGAAAGCGAACCCTGCTACTTCTGTCAACGATAATGCGGTGATAAAGCTTACACCTAGCTCTTAAACGCCTTTAAGTACCCGGTGCCCGCGCCTCACTCTAACTCCCCGAGCCGAGTAATTCCCTTCGCAAGATCTCAGTGGGGCTCCTAAACCCAATTTATCACGAATTTTACGAATCAGTCTAGATCCCGCACCAACTGCCTTGTCAGCTCTGCAACACATTCAACTTTGTGCAGAAAGTGGCACACTCGCAACTTCTATCAGCTCCCGAAACTAATTCAAGCTCCAACAATGGGACCAATGATCCAACAGGGGGTCACCCACTCTCATCCACAAACCACACGACATTAACGCCATTACTGGAGCCCTTCTGACTACCTCCGACAAGGAATTCAACAGTTCCAGCAAGATCCTTTTGAGCTTTTCTTGGTGGAAGACTTATGAATCTGCAAACTCGCAGCCAGGGCGTAAAACCAATTCAGGTTCTCGTACATGCATACGAACAAACGAACAAACAAACAAGTATACAAACAAGCGCTGCCTCACCTGTCACTACCAAAAGAAAGAAAAAAGAAAAAAACGCTCCAATACACAATTACTCCTCCATCGAAAAATTACCCGGAAAAACAAGAGTCCCTCGCCCATGGTGGAAATTCCTACGCACAACCATCCCACGCGGGGGGGGGGGGGGGGTCACGACCAGGTGACCTTCCAGAACGAACAGGATGGATCAGACTAATGATCGACAAACCCTTCCAGATTAACTGTTGTTATCCCGGGAGTTGCAAACTGATCTAGAACAGTCTCCAGCTCTTCCCCTCTCTCACTCTCACTCTCTCGCCCACCTTCCCGGTGGATCGACCCATCGATCGATGACTGGGCCATCAGGGACTGTCTGTGAGAACTCGCAGCAGGGAAGTATAGATTGAGACCACTGGGGACGAGTTATAAGGCGCCGATTCCAGGGGGGAGCTGATCTAGTGCCGTCTTGTGCTATAAATGTTATTTAGGCCATCGAGTGTGCGAGTAAAGTAACTGAGATCGGTAACACCATCTTTACACACCATCTTTGTGACTCAACTCGCGATGTCTGAAAACAGGGAAACAAAATGCATTCGTCTCTGCCGAACTCATGGCCTGCATTAGCTTCATCAATTCTCTGCTCGTCTCCCAGTCTCATCACCTCCTCTCGCTGCCGTACTTTGGTTTTGCTTTGCTTCCACTGCTAACCTAGCTACTGGACTTATTCATTTGTTTATATGTGTGTATATATATGTGTGTATATATATATATATATAAGCTGAAACTTGTGCAGTTGTGTGCATGGATAAGTTGTTTACATATAGTGAAATAGAGGTCTTTTTGCAGGTTATGCTAAGCTTTAAGTTGATTAACGATTTCTTTGATTTTGGCCAATAAGAATGCTTTCTTGTCTCTTTGTATTATACCCAAGCTTCTTTATATATATATATATATATATATATGTTTTGTGGGTGTGAGTGTCAAATTCAACAAGGCAACTTCAACGATAATACTAACATGTGTGCTAATATGTGTCGGTGCTAAGTGTAAATTATAAAATGACAAAATTAAAAGCATTAATTTGAAAATATTGTAGAATTTTGATTAATGTGTGTGTGTGTGTCTATATATATATATATATATATGTGTGTGTGTGTGTGTGTATGTATGTATGTATGTACAGGTGTGAATATGTTTTAATATAGCAGCTTTAAGAACAATGGTGTTGATGTATGAACATTGCTTATTAGAATAGAATGTTAGGAAGATGAATTGGCTCATTTAGAAATGCTTAGAAATTCTCTTTACATATATTATAAGAAATTTTAGCTTGATTGTGGCTATTTTAATTTATATTTAATAACTGATAGAGTACAAATGACATGTAATACTTTATTTGAATATAATTTGATATATTGGGTTAATAAAAAGTTGTGTGTGTTTAAATACATGCCTACAAATTACAATATTAATTATATATGTTTTATTTTCATTATATTTTTATAATATTAATATATATAGTTGTATTATATTTATATATATATATATATATATATATATATATTTTAATATATATATATATATATATATATATATATATTTTAATATATATATATATATATTTTTAATATATATATATATATATTTTTAATATATATATATTTTTAATATATATATATTTTTAATATATATATATTTTTAATATATATATATATATTTTTTTTTAATATATATATATTTTTTTAATATATATATATATATTGTTTTTTAATATATATATCCTATTTTAATTTTTATTTATCTATTATATAATTTTATTAGTCATACATTAATTCTAATAATAGAATTATAATTATCTAAATAAATACTATATTTTTAAATAAATTTTTGTGATCTAAATTAATATTTTTTATATATGAATGGTTGAAATTTTATCCAAAATTTACAAATAAAAACAAATCATTAGTTGATTAAATCTCAAATTTCATTACTAAGAAGATTACACATTTATAATAATTGTTAATTCATTGGATATTTGGTTGTAATATTACAAAAATTTATTGTTATAACAATTAATATAATTGATGTTATACTACTTTAATTAGATTTTAAAATTTTTAATTTAATTCAAAAAATAAATGATTTGTAACTTAATCTATTGTTAAGAATATACTAAACATCCACATTATGATTTACAAATTAATTTTTTCATCTAAAACTAAGACAAGGTTTTTTTTTTAAATACAAATATATTATGTTTATAAGCCAATATTTTTACCAAATTTTGTGCAATAAAACAAGATAAAAGAATAATAACAATTAATCTCTCAATTATATAAGATATGATTAATGCCACCAAAAATATTGCTATCATTACTACAAAAAAAAATTGATTTTTTAATTATATTTTCATTAAAAAATAATTAAAATTTTATGGAATTTGAATTAAATAATTAAATATTAATTTAAAAAATTACTAGAATAAAGAAACTTATATGTTAAGTGGATAGTGGATTGTGGTGGTCATAAAAACAATTGTGATGGTACGTAGTAAATGGAAAATTGTGATGATAGTAGCAAAAAATGTAGTGGCATTAGCTACACCTAAAATATGTTATAGACCTATTTTGTGATAATATCTCAAATAAAATATATGACTTACAAGGCAAGTGTCCTAGAAAGTCAACACATATTGGAGGTCCTGTAGAACATTGCCACGTAGCCCCTTGTTAGATAGTATATATAGACACAAGAGTGAAGCCCTCTTCACTCTTGTCAACTCTTTTCTTGCTTCTAATCTAATTTCAAGGGTCTCTAGTTTTCTCGTCTTTTGGCAATAGCGATTCCAATTTCTTTTTTAATATACATATTGAATTATTTCTATTTTGTCATCTTTTTTTGAGAAAAGTCTTAATTGTTTATTTATTTTTATCAAGTTCTTGTCCTTGACAATAACACATAAAAATTAATTGCTATACATTAATAATTTTAACAAATAGAGGGATGTGTAGCAAATTAATTAAAATAATTAGAAATAACTATAAATATTTTACAAAATACATTGCAAAATTTATTGAAAAAAAAAAAACATGATTAAAAAAGCACTATATTCTGAAATCAATTAGTTGAGTCATTTGTGGCCTTTCTTTCTATATTATAATATATCATAATAATATTATATCATAATAGTTTTTTGTAGTTTTGGTTATGAAAATTTTACTTTTATTTTTTTTCCAATATATTAATATGTACTAGATGTGTGTATGAGCATGTAGGTATACATACATACATATAAAAGAATATTTTCTTAGAAGTATTACACAATAAAATAAATTGTTGATTATATTTTGTAATAGATAAATAATTAATCACTATTTTTATAAAATCAAAATCAAAAAAATCAAAAAATACCAATTTTTTAAAGTATTAAGTAAAATAAAATTACGATATTTGTTGTAAATGTTAGGAGATATTTTTACTTGATGGAAAAATGAGAGATCATGACTTTTGAATTCTTTCATTGACTGAAATCTATAGATTTTTCAATTTCAACCTATCAAAACATTTAAAAGGTTTGACCTCTCACATTATCTCCTATATAGAATCCACTTATTTTTTGCAGAATATGAGGTAATGTTGTATTTATTTCAGTGAGTGTACTCTGTTCAAAATCTAAGAATTTGTTATTAAAACATCAACTTCACATTCATTTCACCTAATACCCTTCTAATATTTTGTCATTTTAATTTCTCATTTGCAATAGGCTAATTGAACAGGACCAAGTGAACATCTTATTTCAGAAACCAAAATCACCATCAAACATTGCAAAACACAAGTTTAAAATACTAAAAAGTGAAACATGAAGATTTTTATAAGACATTCAACTCATTTGCAAGATTTGTATTCCCTTTTCTAGTGGCTCAAGCTTGAACCACCCCTTTGGCACATGGGCACAACAATACGACCAAACCCTAAAACAGCCACTCTTGGGGAGCGGGAGTTTGGCACCAATATATAATTATTATTATTATTATTATGATTATAATTCTCTCTTCCTCCAAAGGGGAAGGTTCCAAATGAAACCCACCATCTCAAAGTCAGACCATGCCAAGTCAGCAACACAACTCCGTCTTTATCTTTTTCTCCTCATTTTCTTTATTTTTTATTTTTTATTTTTTTTATTCCTTTCCTTTCCTTTCCTTTCCTTAGACAGAAAGTGTGTTATTGGGTCTGAGTCCCAATTTGATAGATGCAAAACTGACATAATAAATGATCTGAATGGAAAATATGATATATATCTTGTTGTGAATAAAAAAATTGATTGAATGATTTAGAAACGGTTTAAATATTCTTGCACTTAAAAAGGGTCTCATCAATTTTAATTAGAACATAGAATCTAGAGTTTGAATCATACATTTTTTAATTTATATTGAAAAAATTCACATATTAAAAAGTATCAAACAATAATAAAACTAAAGAAATTGGAAGTGAAAATATCGAGATATATTTTTTTAAATAAATCACCGTCCAATATTGAATGTACTAGTCCAATATATGTGAATTTTAGGAAAAATCCAACAAGGCTCTCTCGATTGTAAATACTTTTGTAATGTTGTGGAAACATTTTCTCCAAAGTACAAACTTTCCATTAAATAATTGAATACACCAGTAACTGTGATGACAACAATGTACAGTCCTACCCATAAACTGGATTGAGTTTTAGAAGGTAATTTGCAAGAAACACTTTATTTGATTAGAGTCCTAAAATTTGGTTCTAAAATGCACAAGTCCTTTCAATTAAGAATCGAGAAGTAAATTTTTGTATTCCAACCAAATAAACGTTTGGAATTAAAGACTTCCAAAACTTTGGATTAATAAGATCTTAGTCTTCTGGAATGATCTATATAGCCAAATACAGTACTACTAAAACCCTAGAACAACTATCTTAATTTTCAGCAAAAAGTTTTAAACCAAAACTGAATTCAAAACAATATTTAAATATTTAATATATATATATA